CACTGCATAGAGCTGGCAGATGGTACGAGGTGCAAGGGGGTTGCCGAGTGGAGAGGAGAAGCAGAGGTGTGCCTGGTTGACAACAAGAGGCGGCACCTCGTAGCTAGACTGAAACAAGCGCTGTATATCCCCACCTATCCGCAAGATATCTTCTCTGTGAGAGCTGCAACTTCCATCGGGGCAACGGTGATCTTCAAGGAGGGTGAAAACATCCTGCAGTACAAAGACGGTACACGTTTTCTCATTCATGAATATAAAAGACTGTTTTATTTGCCTACTGTGCCACCGAACAATGACTGTGATGATGCATGTATGAGTTGTCATGATATCCAGACGTGGCATGAGATCTTGGGACACTGCAATTTTGACGATGTTCAGAAGTTAGAGCTTTGTAGTCAGTATGTCAATAAAGGGCAAAGTATCCAAGCCTATGCAATGTGAAGTGTGTGTTAAAGGCGAGTTCACTCAGAGCAGGAACAGGAAACCTGATGTGAGGGCCAAGTCAGCTTTAGAGTTGGTACAGACAGATTTGGCAGGCCCCATTGATCGTAAGCCCAGAGAAGGCTATAGGTATGCTCTGTCCTTTATTGATGACTACTCAAATGCAGTGTTTGTGTACTTTCTGAAAAACAAAAGTGACACAGTGGAAGCCACAGAGCGGTTCATAGCCGACACAGCCCCGTATGGTAAAGTAACATGTATCAGATCTGACAATGGTACTGAGTTTACTAGGCAGAGTTATCAAGTACTACTTCGTAAGAACAGAATCAGACATGAGACATCAGCACCATACTCACTACACCAGAATGGTACTGCTGAGCGGTACTGGAGAACTCTTCTTGACATGGCTAGATGCATGCTCTTGGAAAGCCAGTTAGTAAAGGAGCTATGGCCATATGCAGTCCAGACAGCAGCAGTGGTGAGAAATAGATGTTTCAATAACCGTACCAGACAGACACCTTACTTTCTGCTGACAGGAAGGAGACCCAATTTGTCTAGGATGCAGAAGTTTGGTACTGTATGCTATGCCTATAGGCAGGACAGGAAAAAGCTAGAACCAAGGTCTGACAAAGGTATTTTTGTTGGCTATGACAAAAACTGTCCAGCCTATATGGTCTATTTTCCTGACAGCAGAAAGGTGATGAAACACAGACTGGTGAGGTTCATCTCAAATGATGGACAGGAGACTGTTGACATGTCTGATGATGATGAAGTTTGTGTAGAGTATAGTACAACCAGACCTGACCCTGATGAAAATAAGCAGTTCGACACCCCAGAGACTAGGCAAGACCTAGATCAGATAAGCCTGCAGCCGGCTGAGGTCAAGCCAGAATCAGTTTCCCTACAGAGATACCCTAGAAGAGAGAGAAGGAGGCCAGACTTCTATGGGGTGGAGAGGGATCAGGCTCAGATCAACATTGATTACTGCTACAAGATGGTTTCTAATATATCTCAAACTTTCAGAGAAGCTGTAGCTTCATCCAACTCAAGAGAGTGGGTAGATGCAATGGATGAGGAGATTAAATCATTGAGGGATAACCACACATTTACTCTGACCACCCTACCTGAGGGAAAGAAAGCAGTGGGGGGTAGATGGGTGTATTCTCTCAAAAACAATGCTGATGGATCTGAAAAGTACAAAGCCTGTTATGTCGCCAAGGGGTATAGTCAGGAGAAAAGTATAGATTATGGAGAAACCTTTTCTCCTACTGCTAACCTTACCATTGTTGGAGTGTTAATGCAGAAAGCTGCTCAGGAGGATCTGATTCTCCATCAGATGGACGTTAAAACAGCCTACCTACATGCACCGATTGATTGTGAGATTTACATGGAGCAGCCAGAAGGATATGATGTAAAATCTCAGGCACATGAAAACCTTGTGTGCAAACTTGAGAAATCATTGTATGGACTAAGCAACCAGGTCGAAACTGGAATAAAATGTTACATGACTGTGTGAACACACCTTTGTACAGAATCCAGCAGACCAATGTGTTAACAAGAGAGAAACAGAACATGAAGAAGTAGTAATATTGATATGGGTGGATGACTTGATTATTGCTGCTAGTGATGAGAGAGCCTTAAAAGCTGTCAAAGAAATGCTTGCTGGGGAGTTCCTCATAAAAGATTTGGGAAGATTGAAAACTTTTCTAGGTATCTCTTTTTACCAGTGTGATGGAAGTGTGACTATGTCACAGCACAGTTATGTTGGCAAACTGCTTCAAAGGTTTGACATGCAGGATTGTAAACCCAGGTCGACACCTTGTGAACTGAAATTAAATTATACTGATGGTGATGAAAAACTGAATGATCCCAGGAAATACAGAGAGGCAGTGGGAAGCCTAATCTACCTGACCACATGCACTAGACCTGATCTGAGTTATATTGTCAGCAAGTTGTCACAGTATTTTAGTGAGCCAACAGAAAAGCAATGGACAACAGTAAAGCATGCACTGAAATATCTGAAAGGCACAAAAGACAAGATCCTCTGTTACAGGAAATGTGGTGAAGAGTTAAGCTTGTTAGCGGAGAAGGAAGTGACGCGCCACCATCAGCGTCAGCCTGAAGAAGCCGGCAGCCGTCGGCGAAACTGTAGCTACTAACAGGTAAACAAAACTGTTTCTGTGTTTAAAAAAGAACGAAAGCATTGATTTAGAAAGACACAGCAAGAACACACCTAAGTTGTTAGCTTACAGTGATGCAGACTGGGCCGGTGATATGAATGACAGATGGAGTACATCTGGTTATTGTGTTAGCCTATGTAGGAATGGTCCTCTGATTTCTTGGAAGACCAAAAAGCAGCCAACTGTTGCATTGTGAACATGTGAGGCTGCATACATTGCATTGGCTTACACCATACAAGAGTGTTTGTATTTGACTCAGCTGCTTGAACGTCTCAGTGATTATCAGTGTGATTTGCCTGTTGTCTTTGAAGATAACCAGGGCACAATTATGCTGGCAAAGAATTCTGTTCAAAGACAAAGGTGCAAGCATATAGATATCAAATACCAGTTTGTGAGATCAACTGTTAACAATGGTGAAATGTTTTTGGAGTATTGCCCAACAGATCAGATGGTAGCTGACCTCATGACTAAACCAGCTACAAAAAACTACTTACCTTTTCCATGTTTCTGTTTGGGGAGCAGCCAAGCAAAGATGCAATATAGTTGGTTTCCATGATGTTCCTGTGTTTGTTTTTGCTTTGTTGATTGTGAATAATGTGTGAGCAAGTGGGGTTGTTAACAGATTCAGTGACTGATGATGGTGCTCCCAATAATTGTTCATTCCTCACAGGTGTGTTTGTCATGTGATCATGCCATGTGCTCTCCTATTTAAGCTGCATCTGTACCAATAAACGATTGATTGAGTGTCCTCATTGCATCCAGACTCCAGTCATGTTTGTTCTCTCCAGGCACAAGCAAGTTTAGGCCAGTATCTATTTGGGCTCTGCTTAACAGTTTGGTTCGTCTTTCAGACAAACCTTGGTTAATTATTCGGTGGGGTTTTTGCCCTTTTTGGATTTCCCGTCCCCTTTTAATAAAGGAGAGTAATTTTAGGATTTTCGGTGCCTGGACGTTCTCAGTTAATTTGGTAATCTTAGTTTGGTTTGTCTTTTATTTATTTATTTATTTATTTTTATTTTATTTTATTTATTTATCTCAAACCATCGAAAACATCAAATTGCATATGCACTCCCCCATATTCCTGGTGCATAAAAAAATTTAAAAATGTGGAATACGATTAACATATATGCGGTTGAATGAAACAATACAAAACATACAATAACATAAAACCGTTTGAGAGGGAACTGGAAGAAGCAAAAGCGTATCTAGTCCAGCCCCAATTCAGTTAATAAATCACATTTGCTCACATTAGCAAATTTGAAAGAAAAAAACTTTTTCTTTATGCAGGTCATTCTATCTTCACCTTGCTACATAAAAATACAGTTACAAACAATTGTTCACATGAATCTACAGAAAAAGAAAACAAAACCAATAAACAACAAAAACAAAATATTCCATTTGCAACCAATTACCATTTTTATCACTTGCTATTTATGTATGAGTCAATTATAAGTTGTTTATACAACATTTTAAATGATCTAATGTTTTTACATAATTTTAAAGTCACATCAAGTTTGTTCCACAGTTTGATACCACACACAGATACACACATACTTTTCATAGTTGTTCGGTATAATGGAAAAATGAAGTTTTTAATGCCTCTCAATTCATAACCACCTTCATGAGTTTTAAACATCCTTTGCAAATTACCTGGTAGTACACCCATCATGGCTCTATACGGTACTAGGACAGTTTTAAATAGAATTAAGTAAAAAAATTTGAGTAATCTGGAATTATAGAATAATGGAGTTGTATGATCTCTATATCCAGAATTAGTAATTATCCTTACCACTCTTTTTTGGAGAACACAAATCTTTAATAAATTAGATTTATAAGTATTGCCCAACACAATATGATAAGTATGGTAGAATCATAGTACAAAAAAGTGTGTGTAGTGTTTTTAGACACACCTTGGTTAATTTCTAGGTGAGGGTTCTGTGCATTTTTGACATGTTTGTGTAAACTTGATTATATCTAGAATCTATAGGTCTAAAAACATTTTAGTGCTGCCCCCTGTGGCAGAACAGCGGCTACTGCAACAGAACCCTGAAATGGCTCGTTCTGGAAGGTCCTGAAAATGTCAAGAATAAAACAGCTGAAATTGCTTCATGTGAAAATCTATCTATCTATCTATCTATCTATCTATCTATCTATCTATCTATCTATCTATCTATCTATCTATCTATCTATCTATCTATCTATCTATCTATCTATCTATCTATCTATCTATCTATCTATCTAATCATCCTTTATTATCAGATAAAGTCAGAATAGTGGATCTAGTGAGTGACTCTAAATAAAGGAGTGAATGTTGGTCGTCTCTCAGGAGGGGGTCGCATTCAGCTCCACGTCATTCCTGATGGCTCCAGTAGCCTTTGGGACAGACGGCAGCTGCAGATGTGCGTCTGCTGTCTGCCTGTTGGACACATCGGACCAGACGGGATGCTGTCTCTGTTTTCTGCTCTCACCGCCACCTTTAAACTATGAATGTAACCGCGATGCTCTGTGAGAGCCCCGCGCCTGCAGCAGTGGTTCGTGTCCGTGTGGGAGCCTGATGAGAGAGTGAGGACAGAAGGACTGGAGGACAGGATGCCCGCGAGCGGCGCCGATGCGCTGAAGCCCAGCGCCTTCATCCCGGTGTGCACCGCCGTCTGCCTCCTGGTCGGCTCTACCTCCATGTTCTTCGTCTTCACGTGAGTGCATTTAACTACTTTTTAAATTCTTGTCTGAATGCATTAGGAATAAATAAAAAAAGGCATTTTGAGACAAGAATTTTTCTGGATCTAATTTTCTTTCAATTAATAATAATAATAATAATAATAATAATAATAAACACGTTTATTAGCTGTGCTGCAGCTTACTTTGAAATATTATAAATCAGTAGCTCAACAAGAGCTAATTTGCTGCCCCTCTCCACTCACTCCTGTCTCCATCAGGGCGGCTAACATCTGGTTTGGTTGGCTCCTAGTTTGGACTATAATCCGGGTGGCTGCCTAGAGCACCCAGAGGACTCAGAGTAAGCACAGTTGAGAGGATAAGCTCCCCCAAATGTTATGAATTTTGCATGAGGAACTCAACAAATCACTTTTTGCAACCTAAGGTGGAGAAGGTTGGATGTTTGAAAGACTTCACTGAGGATGAAACTCCATCTAACTCCCAGATAATCCAGTTTAGGTGATGTTAGGTTGCATCCATGCTTAAAATGCTGGTTTCATGTTGTGCATTAAGAACTACAAACAAACATGCCCTCCTGCTACTCCCTCCTCCTCCTCTATGGTTCTGCTCCACACCTTTGACCTCTGGAGCCATATCTGTCCTAGTTTCTCCTGCATTCTCCAGCTGTGCACCATTTCCACTGGAACCTGACACCAGATTGAGGGGGTGTGGATTAGGATCTTCTGCATGATGCCATGTGATTTTCCCATCATCAAAAGAAAAGAGTGCAGTATGGAACCTTTGAATGTTTTCGGCACATTTGTCACCAGAAATATGTCTGTGACAGCTTGACAGGCACCTGAGTTGCAAGCTTGATGCTTTTTTCAGAGACGTTGGAGATTTAGAGACAGATTTGTGCCAGATACCAGTGAGAAACTCCTCCCCTGAACTCAATTTGTACTGAGAGACGAAGAAAGAAAGAAAGAAAAAAATCAATGACCTGCTGATGTAAGAGATTGAAAAGACGATTTAATTGGAGCTCCAGTGCTAAACCTGCAATACCAGAACGCTGCGAATGATTGAATGGGCAACTGATAATTTTGCTCCTCCTGGGACGACGTTCGCATTTCAGCACAGACGATTTTGTGACATAACTTTATTTTTAATTGCACAGCTCTGTAAAAGTAGCACATCTCCCACAGTCACTACATATTCGTTTTCTGGTCTAAACCACACATTGTTCAACATTTTAGGTCAAAACTTCATGCAACAAGAGATGAATAGGTGCAGTCCTACCAAAATGTATTTTCACCACTCTCCTGCAAACCATACTGTGAATATTCATAAATGTGCACATTTGCATAATTTTACCCTTCAAACCATATTTTAATTCCCACAGAAACAAACCCTGCAGGGATATTTTATGTGAACACAAAAACATACCATTGCTTCTTTTGCTTCATGTCAGCAGTTCTGTGAGAGCATTATTAATGAGAGCATGCAAACTTGAAACACTTTTGTTCTGCTGCAAGTTTTGGAAAGTCAAAGAACAACCTTCAGCTTGAAGGAGGCTTCCTTTGTCTGATTGTGTTTGATTAAATCCATCAGATAGCAATTTCCTGCTTTTGTTCCTCTAACGTGGATTTTTGTGGGGAGCAGCCAACAAGGTGTGGTGCACAGACATGAAAAGATCAAGGAAACTAGCATGCAAACTATCAGAGGTCAGGCGTTTGCAGGCTGTAAAAATGCCCAACAAAAGGCTGCAGCAATGTAAAAATATATGTTTTGCATAAATGCATCAAGTCAGTGCTGCAGGACTTCTGTTAGCCTGCATTAGATGCATAAAGCTGGCCAACAATATTAGCTAATGGTCAAAACTAACAACGCAAATCTGTAAAACCCCTGAGTGGATTGAAGTGACCAGAGATTTGTTTTTATCCCTAAAGAATTCTTTTTAAAATGATTTTTCATAGTCGGTTAAAGTTAATGTTGAAAGGAGTTTATTGGAAGCAGAAAAACGTTTGATATATGAAAAACCCACTTATTGCATCACTTTGTGTTGCCATATGGGTTTCTACTTCCTCTATAAACAATCCAAACACAAAAAGACCCATCCATCTGTTTTCTGTCAGCAGTGTTGCCACAGTTATCTTGAAATAGTAATTTGATTACTGACTCCTTCCACTTTTAGTTACTCTTCTGATTACTTTATGTTAAAAGTAACTAAGTTAGATTAAAATTTACTTTATTAAATATTTTCAGCAGCTGCCAATAACTAAACCCATTGCCTCAACATAAAAACCAACAACCACTTTTGCTATGCCAATGCAATGCATGAAGCAATATGCTAATTGCTAGCATCCAGCATGAACTGCGTGGTGACTGGTGACACTAGTGACTGCAGAACAAGCAGTAGCTGAGGTGCATTGTGGGTAACTAGGTTTCCAGTTGTTTGTTCTATTTTGGTGTGTTTGTTGGCGTTTTGTTGCCAGCGTTGTGTTGGGTGTTGTTATTCTTTAGTTCGGTGTTCTGATGGTGCTATTTTTGGTTGGAGCTAATTTATCTCCGCAAAATTAACAGTGGTGCCGTTCGGTCATTTAATAGCTTGGTATGCTGGTTCTTCTGAATATGGAATACATGCTGTTGCGGGTTTTGCCATCTTTGCAAATCACAAAAACGATTACGCAAAAATAGTAACAAGTAATGCATAGTATCTTGTGCAAGTAACTTTGATTACTGATATGGAAATAGTAACGAGTTAGATTAGTCACGACTGAAAAAAGTGGTCATTTTAGAGTAATGCACTACCAAGTAATGCGCTACTGGCATCACTGTTTGTCAGTTTTCAGTTTAAGGAATTATGATTCTATAAAATGCAGTTTCAAAAAGTCCCCATTTGTGATGTCACAAATGGGAAAATACATTTAGAACTACCTCTCACCTCTCTAGGCTAGCAGCAGCTCTACTCTGAGCACCTTCCAGATATTGGAGCTTCTCAGCTTATAGCAGCCTGAGTGGTGATGGGTGAGCGTGGCCAGATCCAGCTTGTTTTCTTAAAGCGATGGAGCCCTGTAATGGCTCATTCTGGAAAGTACTGAAAAGGTTAAGAATAAAACTCCTGAAATTGCTTCACGTGAGAGGGATTTAGTACAAAGAACTTTATAAACACATTTTGTATCAGCCACATAACCATGGACGCAGACTCCAGAAGTGGGGGGGACACAACCGGCATGAGGACCGAGGGGGAGACAGGCTTCAACACAAGCGGTTGTTTTCCACTTGGTCCTATGTGCTCAAGCAGTGTCTATTTAATAAGGCTTAATATTGTTTTGGATGGTAAAAAGTGCAGGGGACAAAAACTGACTTTTGAAAAAGTGTGTGTGTGTGTGTGTGTGGGGGGGGGGGGGGGGGGGGCATGTCCCCACTGGCCCCCCCCCCCAAAAAAAAAACTACATCCATGCAACTATTAGAATTTAAGAAAAAAGTCACAACATGTCCCCTTTAACCCTTTCATGCATAATGGTCACTACAGTGGACAGCTACTCAAAATTGCTTATTTTTGCACAGCTGTTGAAGACTTTATTGCATTTGAGCCCCCCCCCCCCCCCCCTTGGACTCTAGTAAGTCAAACCAACGTGTTCAGAACGCACACTGTCCACTGAGGTGGACATATAATAAATGATTTGCAAATTAAATGTTTAAAACATTTTTTGTTGAAAATTACTGAAAAATTACCTAAAGATGAATGAAAACAATTGTTAAAAAAGAATCATGGTTAAAGATTTCATAATTCACACATGAAAGGGTTAAAATGATTTGTTAATTCCTAAAGTCATACAATAATTAGTAAATTATTTTAGAATTAGCTGATCAAAAAGACCCTTTCTTTTCTTTTCAGTGTAGATTTAAAGCTGAATTGATTTAAACTGTGTCCATTACAATAAAAAGTCTACTTCAAATCATCATCTTTTAACAGATTTCACAGCCTTTTCTGTCTAAATCCTACTTTTGTAGATAGTGAAGTCCCTGATGTAGCTGTGACAGTGTCTCACAAAAGTAGTGCTGGATTTCCAGCTTGTGTGTTTATTGTGGCGTCTGCTGTGCCACTGACCCACTGTGGGGATGAGGCCAGCATGCAGATTGCAGAGCAGCTTACTCCTCAGTGTGATTTATTAGAGATCTGCCCGCGCCACCGTTTCATTAGGTGGGGCTTGTCTTTGGCGTAATGAACCGTCTCTCTTTGGTCCAGATGGTCTCAGACCAGCGGTGGAGGCCGTGGAGGCATCTTTATCATAATCTGATGCATCTCTATTTTTAGATTAAAAAAAAAGAGAGAGAAACTGAAAATGAAAAACGTTCACCAATTTTTTAGTTTTTAATTAGATTGTGACATGATTTGATGGCACAGCTCAGTGTGATGGATCAGATCCAACTTTTTAACCATATGTCTAACATGAACTCGGTTAGCAAAAAGAGAACCGGGGACATGCTAGCATGTTGCTTTCCTAAAGAAGAGCCTTCTATCAGTTTGGATTAAAGGGAATTCTTTTATTGAGGAATTTGTAATTTTATGGTGTAACAGACAACACACTACACTGACTGCATGCATCTAATTTAAGGGAGCTACAATGCACAGGACAGGCAGAAATGGTCTGTAATCCAAAAGTCATAATCTAGGGATTACTGGGTTTGCAGCTGGCATGGCATCAACAGGGTCGGGGACCCCTCCCCCCCACAGACTAAAGCAACTTCAGTTCCTGGGTCTGGAGATTGGATCAACAGCAGCAACATGAAGGACAATGATTGTCTTAACGTTTTCACTTTTAATTTTGTTTCCGATCTTCCAAATGAGGCAACAATTAGCTGCTAATGAAGTGACAATAAAGTTTTGAAAATAAAAGTGACGAGTGTCACTTGATTTCTGACTCGACTTGACTCAATTTCAGAGACGCTCAAGATTCTGCAGTCAGGAAGAACCCAGTGAAGTTCCATTGTGTAGGTTAAATAAACTCGATGAAAATAATCCAGAGATTCTTCTTCTCCGTCCATGTAACCTGATTATTTTGCCCCTCCTTCTAATCTCACGCTGCAGATTCACTTATGCAGGATAATTCAGCACACACACATGCAGACACACGCACACATGCACGCACACATGCACGCACACACACAAACACACACAAACAAACAAACAAACAAACAAACAAACAAACAAACACACACACACACACACACACACACACACACACACACACACACACACACACATGCAGAAACACGCACAAACACACACACACACACACACACACACACACACACACACACACACACACACACGCACACATGCACACACGTACATGCATGCACATGCATGCACAAACACACACACACTCATGTATGTGCACACACACGTGCACACTCAAACATGCATGTGTGCGCATGCATGCATGCATACACACACACACACACACACACACACGCATGCACACACACACACACTCGCATACAGACACGAATGCATACACACACACAGACACACACATGCGCACGCATACACACATGCACACATGCATGTGCGCACACACACATACACACACACACACACACACACACACACACACACACACACACACACACACACACACACACACACACACACACACACACACACAGACACACACACACATGCACACCAACACATACGCACGCATGTTTGCACGCTCAATAACTAAATGGAGAGGATAAGAGTACAGACCCATTCATTAATTAATTCATCAATCACCGTGATTTTTTTCACTCACTGGTAGCGGTTTTACTGGTTTACTGTTCTCTTGACAAAAACCGTTGCAGCCTTTGGTCTATCACAACACCATGACACCTCATCGTGGGCAGAAACCAAAGCAATTTGTTTTTTAAAAACTTTGCTACCCAAAGTTTGAATGGTTGTGCAGAACAAAAATTAGAAACTACTTCATACACTTTTCTAAAAATGTAAGGATTCTTGTATTAAAGGTTAAATATGATTACATTCCATTAAAATTCTTTTTATTTTCCATCAGTATTTATGGACTGCCTAGTGCCACAGATGGTAGCAATGTTTCTTTGCATTGAGAAGGTTGCTAGTTCAAATCCCACCTGAGTGTCCTTTCTGTGTGGAGTTGGCATGTTCTCTCCCTACATGTGTTATCCAGTTTCCTCCCACAGACCAAACACACACATGTCAGGCTAACTGCTACGCTATGGACTGGAGACCTGTCCAGGGGTGTCCCACCCCTCACCCAATCCGTTGGAGATGGATGGATGGACAGGCACATATGTGAGGCTAATATGCTAACCGATCATTCATGTGGTTATTTTTGACGATTATTTTTAGACACATATTTTAGACATTAAAACTAACGCGATGGAAGATTTTCTTTCCTCCTCAGTGAGACGGAGCTTCGCTGCTGAATTCTGGAAGATTGGTTGAGGAAAAACCCCTCTGTTTAATCCCTTGTTGTTGGCACGGCCGAACACACGCTAACACAAGCTTATCTCTCACTGTCAACAATTACTTTTGTGATCCAGCGTTCCCATCAGAATAAATAGGATGATGATGATCCCCTAAAGTCTTTGTTTGCATTAACGTCGACCTTAAAGGGATAGATGAATCAGCTTGGCCCAAATACTCCCGTTACAACAGAGATGGCTTCTTCTTCTTATGTGGATGTGATTTATTTCTTCTTCTCTCCTTCCTGTGTGTGTACTCAGATGCCCCTGGCTGGCTTTGACCATCTGCCCTGTTGTGCCACCATGCTGTGCCATCCTTTTCCTCTTTGTGCTGGCCAACTTCACCATGGCAACGTTTATGGATGCTGGAGTGCTTCCTGTGGGTCAGTATGTTTCCATCACATTTCTGTTTTTTTCTGTCACTTGCAAGCATCCCTTTATCAGTCTCCTGTGTTGCTGTTTATTATTTAGCCGGAGAGGATGAAGATAAGGATGACGAGTTCCGTGCTCCGTTGTACAAAAACGTTGAGGTGAAGGATGTCCAGGTGCGGATGAAGTGGTGTGCGTCGTGTCATTTCTACAGACCGCCACGCTGCTCTCACTGCAGCGTCTGTGATCATTGTGTGGAGGTGAGAACAGCAGTGAAAATAAAAATAAAAACAAATGCGTGAAACTTGGAAATTGGGGGAAGGATTAGTGGAAGTAATTAGGCAGCTGAGAGGACCAGTGTGAGCTTACGATTGGAGTGAGTGTGTGTATGTGTGTGTGTGTGTGTGGGGGGGGGGGGGGGGGGGGGACTTCTGCAGGATAAGTGATGGACAATGATATTAATCTGGTAAATCCCGTTTTCCAATGCTGTCATATCTGCAGAAAGACAATCTGAAAAACAATGGAAGCTGAAATACTTTCTGATAAAACCTGATCTCTTCTCAGGATTTTGACCACCACTGTCCGTGGGTGAACAACTGCATCGGCAGGCGAAACTACCGCTACTTCTTTCTGTTTTTGCTGTCGCTCACCCTTCACATGATTGCCGTGTTCACCTTTGGCCTCATCTACGTCCTGCACCACGCGGATGACCTGTGGGAGCTGCACTGCACCATGACGTATCCTTGTCTCCGTCCAGCTCTGTTCTTATCTGTCAAAAACAAGAATGCTAACACAAAGCTACCTTCCTTATCAGTTTTATTCCAGTTTGGTGGTGATCAGCGTATCGGGTTTGTTTCTGATCCCAGTTCTGGGTCTCACTTGTTTCCACTTGTATCTGGTATCCAGAGGTCGCACCACCAATGAACAAGTGAGTTTTTTTTTAATCAGACAAACAACCATCTGAATGTTGCAGCTGAAATCCAGACTCATTAGACCAGGAAATGTTTATCCAGTCTCTTCTGGGTCATTTCTGGTGATCCTGTGTGATATGTTTCCTGTTCTTATCAGCAGTGCTGTGGTGTTCTGCTGCTGGAGTCCATCTGCTTCAATCTCTGACATGTTGTGGTCTAGATCTGCTGTTCTGCAGATGGTTATTTAAAGTAACACAAAGCAGTTTCCTGCTCCTCCACTCTACTGGTTGAAAGTGGAATTACAACGGTCATAAACAACTCTGCTGCAGCCTGCTGTAGCTAACAGCAAGCTAACGCTAACACGAGCCAACTAATACTAAAATGAACCATGAAGTAAAAAGACAAAAAATATGATTACTTACAAGTCCAGTAGCAACAAAATCAGGTCACCCTCAGCCATTTTGTAACCTCCGGTAGTTTCCTCAAACTATGATGGGACAAACAAAGCGAGGCTTTGTGGCTTGTATCGAGCAGCAGGGGCGGACTGGCCTATCTGGCATTCTGGCACTATCCCGGTGGGCCGCTTAGCAAAGTGGGCTGCTTGCCCAGCTTGGGCCGACACTACTCTACAGTTGGTGATCTGCAGAACATTAGCTACATGGAGAAGCTTACAGAGTTTTTATAGGCGTTTTTAGCTAGAGCGATGACGTAGGAGTTGTTTTACCGCATTAGCATGTAGCTAATGTCCCGCTGATCTCCGCCCGTGGAGAATGAGCTGATCTGGAAGGTCAGGGCTCCCGGTCGCAGCGGTCTGGCCCTGCTTGTAATTTAACTGTCCCAGTCCATATTACATCTAGCCTAGTGAACTAGACCAAATTCTTGCTTTGCAAAGTTTGGTCTAGGCACGCTCCATTGGAACCTCTGCAGCTCCTACCAGGACTCTGGCTAGCCAATCACAGCTCTCTAGAGGGGTTTCAAACACATAAAGAGCTGTGATTGGTCCATAATGGTGGGCCAATCATAGTGCTCTATCTGCTTAGTGAACAAATCACAGAGCTTTATCCGCTTTGTGGGCCAATCAGGGCACTCTATATGCCTGGTGGGTGGGATGATGCAACAGAGTGAAACAAGAGTATGTCACATTAATTGTCCAGTGGAATGCGGAGATCATTTGAAAGACAACGGTAGAACCCGCCCCACAAGCGAGAGCCGTCAATGGAGCGTGGCCAGACTAAATAATACATTTATTTAGTCTGGCTTGCCAGGCTATATTACATCTCACATTCGGCCTAGAGACGGCAATACCCCCCACCCCCACTGCTCTCCCAATGGGGAGGGCCGACTGAGGGCCGACGATTCGTAAAAATGCCAGGGCTGAATTTTGGTCCCTGTCCACCCCTGTCGAGCAGTAAGGGGGCGTGCCATGAAGCCCCGCTTCGAGGCTTGCTTCATTTTGCAGAAAACCACGTGACCGATCACAAACGAAGCCTCGGTTTGCCTGAGTCACGCGACCGGTTCGTTTTCTGTGTCACTTTCAAATTAAAAGGTGCCGAACCACACAGTGATCTGTGGGTTGTTTTGGTTTGGACCATGTGTCTGTGTGGAGTTGTTATGTAAAAAAATCTTATTGACTGAGTTAATCCACAATTTCAGGGTCACACCTGTAAAGTCTCCCGTTTTGGGCGTGAAACCATAAACTATATTTATTCCCTGTCTTCCCAAATTATTATTCACTGAAAATGTCCGGTATTAAAAACCATTCACGGGGACCCCCCTCTCCTCAGGAACGTCAACACACCACACTCTGTTCCGCTGATCAGTGATGTAGGAGGCTGATTTAACGTGACATGACCTTTAGACTATAGTCGCTTTCAAAAATGGAATAAGTACCACAAACGAAAGTGACTAAATTGGATTTAGGGAAAAAGAATCAGATCTGTGCAGTTCAGACTCAGGAAAAATCAGATTTGATGCAGTTTTGCCTGCAGTGACATCCACAGACACAGTGTGAAGCATTTTAATGCATTGTAATGTTACCAAGTACCACTAGATGGCGCCACAGCTAACGTGTTTGAGGCCTTGAATCATGAATGGCACAGTAGAGAATGCTTTGAAGCGCTTCACGAGGCTTCATTGGCACATCACTACAACTAGTGTAGGTCGCACCGATGTTCACTCTGATTTTAGCTCTTTGCTTCACCTCCAAAGAAATGAAGCTCTTACTTTTACTTCCCGGCTTCTTCTTTTTCTCCTTCTTGTGCTTTTTATTGAAGAGTTGCTGTCATGTGATTGGCTGATCAGTTATTTGCATTAACAGGTGTGAACTTCTGCATGTTTCCACAGGTAACTGGGAAATTTCAAGGAGGTGTGAACCCTTTCACACGAGGCTGCTGCAACAACATGGAGTATCTGGTTTGCAGTCCAGTGCCACCAAAGTAAGAATTTCCCCTCTTTTTTGTTGTTGCTCAATCTGGTGCTTTGTACGCAGCCTTGTACCTTACCGAATGACTGTTTGCCATCTCTGTTTCTCCTGGAAAAACCAGCTACACAACAAGATCCTGCAGGAAAACGACCATCTACGTTCAGCCTCCATTCCTGTTCCGTTCGGAGCTTGACAGACAGATTCCGGTGAAAGCCAAGGACAATGGGATTCAAATTCTGGCAATCCAAAATAAAGTATGCATGAACACTTTAAAACATTCTCCAACACCCAAAGAATGTGACCTCAGATGTCTGGAGATGTAAAACGTTTCTCCCTTGCATCTGATTTCTTCCTCTTCTCTCCAGCAATCCTCAACCGGTGGAGCGGAGCTGTCCGATATCAAACAGCTGAAGACCCCGCCTCCGCTGCCCCCAAAACCAGACCGCATTCTACTGAAAAGTCAAGTTTCTGTCATGGATGGTACTGAAAAACAAATACACAAATATGCATAACCTGACGAGAAGACTCAGCTCTGCACAAATCAGTGTTTGGTTTATGGACATAACCATTGGTGGTTCTAGGGGTGGGGTCTCCATGGCATGGGCCCCTGCTAGAATCATCTGTCCTTTGCACAATGATCAGATTGTAGGTGGTGCTAATCAGCCAAATAGGATTTTCCAGTGTGAAATGTTTTGTAAGGAGTTTGGACAAATACTTGGCCCCTCTCTGAAGAGAGATCTAAATTAGCCTTTGATTATGAAAAATAAAAAATATTTCTCTGTGACATGATTTTAAAAAAGCTGTAGCAGAGAGCTTTAGACAGATTTGTGGGAGCTAACGTTGGTTGGAGATCTTGGATTTAATCACTTCAAGTCTTGAAAAGAAGGAATTTTAAAAGCTTTGTGACTAAATCGAACCCTAAAGATGTCATTTTCTGAAATGCTTTTGTAGATTTTCCTGCACTTTTGCAGATTCCACCAGCGATTAATCACAAGATGACCTCTTTTTTCAGACGTGGGCCATCACACCAAATCCATCATTCCGGTGTCTATTCCCACCGTGCCGCAGCTACGGCCGGTCCTGGAAGCCATATCCAGAGGATCGTCACCCATTCCTCCAGAACAGGTGGGTTTTCGCTCAGCTTTCCTTGTTGTTTAAGGTGAAAACGACTCTCATGAATTGGTTTGTGTTTCTCAGCTGCTGAAGACATGCGACCAGCAAGGCAACAGCAAAGGTGCTGACCTCTGCTCGGATTCAAGAGAGAGTCCCATCAGAGGCGGCCATCAAACCATCCAAACTCCTCTCCAGCCCGGCGCTGTCTCCAGCTCACTACAGCTCAGCGCTCTGCCGCTCAGCACCCGCTCACTCACTTTAAAACACAACGGTCGCCATGGCAACAAATCCCAGCTGCACGCCAATGCCACTTCAGGGATCGTCTTCCATTCCAGTCTGCTGGCCAATCAGTGCAGCAGCAGCAGCCCCTCCTATGACAACCTCATCAACCCTGCAGATCCTCAGTTTTTAACCCAACGGGGAGCCCCGACAGTGAGCTACCACTCCCACTTCATGGCCCTGGGGACAGACGGGATGGTGCAGTGTCCAAACCCTCACAGCTACAGTCCTGTGTTCATGGGAGTCACCAGACAATCTCCTCAACCTCGGGAAACGTCCCCGTCTTTGCAGGGTCTCACTTCCAGGGTCCCCTCACCGTCTTACCAAGGTTTCATCCAAAGAGACTCTTCTCCTGGCTTGCAAGGGCTGATGCCAAGAGACCTCCAAACCCAAAGCATAATGTCCCGAGACGTCCCTCCTCCCGGCGCGGTGAAACGAGAACACACCTCCCAAGGTCTTCAAGAGAGTCTTCGAGATTTTATTCCTCAGGACATGACGCTTCCAAAGTCTGCCGCTGCACAATATGACAATTTTTCCAAAACCATCATGGCGTCCATCCACGAGAGACGAGAGATGGACGAGAGGGAGAGGATTCTCCGTGCCCAAGCCAGATCCCAGGCTCTCTATGGGCCCGATTTGGGGATCTACGACATCCCCAGCAGGAGGAGTTTACCTCCAGAGAACATTAGACCCCCAGGCTCCCGTGGACCCACTCCACCCGCCTACGGTTCCAGGGAGTTTCTGATGAGTACGGGAATTCTAGGTTACGGGATGAGGACCTCGCCTCTCTCCTGCTCCTCTACATCTTCTCTGACTCGTGGGCCCAAGACCTCCAGCTCTCCTCTGCAGAGAAGCAGCAGCAGCTTACAGAGCAAGGGCAGGTCTTCGTCTCCACCTTACGGTCCTCCTGAGAGGCAGACGCATGGTCTAACGCCCTCCACAGCCACCCTGCCACGTTTACCTCCCAGTACCTACCCTGCACCCCCCTACACTTCCAACGCCACAGTGAAGCGCTCCTCCCTCCCTTTCTCCTCCGAGAGGAAGGAGTCCGTCACTCTGGGAGCCCTGAAATAAAACCCACTCAATGTTTCTGACGGCGCAAGTGAACCCCCTATGCAGAGTTAGTCTCAGTCTTCATCTTTTGTAAATAAGAGGCCATATGGGGCTCTCCTGAGTAGGAGGGTGTGCAGAAGGAGGACAAACTCAAAAAATATTCAAAGCAATTACGGAAAAATAAACTGTGAATCTCAGGATGTCCGCGTCTCACTTTGTAGGAGGAGGGCGGGAGCATGACTGGCTCAGCTGAAGACAAGAAAACAGATGTTTGTTTGTGTTTTGATATTGTGAAAATTGTAATACCATTTCATCTAGTTTGTCCCCAACCCTCGTTTCATAGGATTTTTGTAGTCGTTTATATGAATAAACTTATTTTGTAATTTCTATTCCAGTTTTATGTTTTTTTTCTTAATTTCTTATTAATCTAAGTTAAATAAGTGAATTTGCATGAAATGTTAGAAATATTTGAAGTTATTTTCTGCACTGGACTTGTTGCATTGTGCCATCTAGTGGATAGTTTTAGTAATAGCTCAAAGGTGTTTTATCCATGTCCAATCTTGGTCTTGACGGCCTCAATCAAGCAGGCTTTAAACGTTTCTCTGCTCAGACACACCTGATCTGACTCAGTGATTGATTAACAGGCTTCTGCAGAGCTTGAGGACCTTCTGAGGAGGAGATCAAGTCATTAAATCAGGTCCTGGAGAAGGAAAACAACCAAAATGTGCAGAAAATAAACCCTGGGGGACCGGGGCTTGAACACCACTGCTGTATGTCCCTTCAGATAAGGTAACTAAAAGTAAAAATGTAAAGAAAATATTCCATATTTGTTAAACGGTGTATGCATGTTCGACTAAAAGGAAGAGATTCAAGGAAGTTGGGATAATTTTATAAATCTAGTTTTCACTTTTTCAAACAGATTTAAAGGTGTAAATCACGAAAAAATGTTTTTAAATCGTTATGTCTGATTATATTCAGTCACTCTGAGTTTTTAATGCAGGCTGAACATGAAAATAGTCTCATACACCTATCTCCTGCATTATCTTCTGATAGAAAATAGATGGTGAAACTCTAGGATTTAAAAATCCTGACAGATCTACGTCACTCTGTCACTTAACATTCATGGCCTCACCCATCTTGACTCGTGACGGGGAAGGCTGTTGTTGGTTTAACGTCCAGGAAACAGCAGAGAACATCTCGGCTAGTAGAAGTTAACAGTTAGCATTAGCAACTCCATCACACAGCAGAAATCCTCCAGGCTTGTGTTATTTGTCGAGATATAAAATCAATGTTCCAAAGCAAATGTGGTCAGTGGTAGAGTTGTTTTGCTGTTAGCCAATCAGAGAGGAGATGTCTAATATCAGGAAATAAGACTCCAAATCCTCTCCTCTGATGTGGCGTTCTGCTAGTTCCTGGAACAAGCAAATCCAAGCTTTTTCTCCCCCGAGTATGACTTACAAGGCATTAATTCCTGCTGGAGACCACTGCAAACACATTCATTAAATGAGTGTCCCACACCTTTAATCATCCTCTTTTGACTGTCCTTCAGACTCTGAACAAAACTTCCTTTTTTGCAATAAAACCTTTCAACCCTGAAATCCCATCAAACAGTATTATCTGCACAATAAAGAACCAGAGCTGATGCTTAAAGGTCAGGTTTTCATCTGAGTTACGGCTGCATTTCCTCATCAGCAAGGCCGGGGGATTTGAGGATGGGTGTGTCCACACTCCAGCGCTGGATGATACTCTCACTTTGGGTAGCCTCCAGCATCGTCCTGAATTCAGTATTCCTGAACTCTAGTCTTGCTCGGTCTGTATTAAGTACCTGTCCTGCCTTTAGATCATCCACTGGATCTTAGCTTAAGCATTAGCATCCCTAGAGTGTGTGTTCGTCATTGTCGCTCATCTCCCCTGGCCGCCGGCTCTCCGCCGTCAACCTGCCCTGGATACCCGTCAGCCAAACCTCACCTGCCTAATCCCTCTCTACCACCAACCAGACCTGACCTACCCCCTCCTCACATCCATCCCCAGTTTCCTGCTCTTTAAGATTTTCCTTTCCTCTGCTATTACCTGGTTCTCTAGTTTCTGGTTTAACCCACCATGAGTTTTTCTATTTTAGATTCTGGTCCTAGTCCCGCTTTGTTTGAAGCTGCGCCCTAAGTTCCCATTTGTTACTGCTGCCCCATTTGGAGCTGTGCCCTTAGATCATTTATTTTCCTTTAATAAACATTATTACTTTCTTGCTGTGTGTTTGATTCTTCGTGTTGGTCAGGAGGCTTCCTACCACCATGACATTACCAATTGCTCCCACCTGCATCTCGCCTTCCAATCACTCCAGATGCCAGTTCCCAGGGGCGTAGCACCAAATTCTGGGCCCCAGGTACAAGTCTTCTAGGTGGGCCCCCATGCTCAATTACTTAATATCTCTCTTACACATTTTTTGTCATGCTATAAGACAAGATAATAAATATGATCTTAGTTTAACCTCTATATTGAGCAAATACAAATGCCAGCATAATAAAAGTGAAATGCCCAGACTTCACATATAATTATTATTTGCCAACAATGTGTTCAAACAAAAATCCTGGAATTTATTTTCCAGTAAATGCCCACTGACGGGTCTTCATGTTAGCAAAATCACTTATGAGATCTTTAAAGTCCAATCCTTTGGCTAATTGGCTTTCAATAGAAAGAAGAGCTAGGCTGTTCAGTCTATCCTGGGACATTGTTGATCTCAAATAATTTTTCACCAGTTTCAGTTTGCTAAAAGCCCGTTCACCCCCAGCAACAGTCACAGGCAGTGTGCAAAATATCCTCAGTCCAATACAAACTTCTCCAAAAATGCTCTGTAATTGCATCCTGTATGGCATTAAGCAGAGGAGACCGAATGTGTGGAAATGTGGCACCATATATTGTTCTCAGGTGTAGCATCTCATTCTCAAATTCAGCTGTGAGATCCTTGTAATATTTTCTCATCAGTGCCTGGCATGATATCTTCATCTGCTCTTCAGTCATGTCTGTCATGGTTCATGATGTTAAGCTTTGCTGATACTGATATATATTGATATATTAAATACATATGACATGAAATAAACCAGGTTCTCTCTGTGATTGTAATGTACTCTAAATTTTATAATCCCTGCATTATCAGCCAAATTATAAAATTGTCCGTTTTCAAGATCAAATATAAAGAAATTTAAAATAGGCTTAAAATATCTTACCAAGTCAATAACAATCCTCTAACACCAGTGTCATCATGCTATATGAAAATCCGTGGCAGCTTCTCATTCCTGAGATTACCACGAATCCATCGATACCAAGTTTGTCCTGGTCCATGACTGGGAAGGAGCTGAAATATCCACACAGAGTGAACCTGTTTTTACTGCGAGGTCCGGGAATTGATTGGCGGCGGCCGCCCGCGATAATAATTCTGATTAATATATATATTAGTGTTTTCACTGATAACACTAATTAATTTATATTTGATCTTGATGGTGAAACTAAAGGCGTTTAACACTGAACACCTAACATGAATGCAGCTTCTGAGAGCTAGCTAATATCAGCTAAAACTGTGTTCTGCTGCTGCTGCTCACCGTCCTTCTACTTGCTTCTGTTCAATTAACTTTTCCTCCTTCTCCTTCTTTTCTTTTCTTTTCTGGAAGCCAGATTTCCCTTTCTTGGGAAAAGACTGACTCTCCTGCCTCCAACTCTGGCTGTCGGCATCTGCGATGTCTCATAGCTGTACATGCGGCTGTGCAGCCCCTGGCCGCTGGTGTGGACTAAACCACTTTGCACATTTTTAAGGGGTGATAGATGCCTCAGAGATTATTCAGTTATTATTTTTAAGGTGAAATTCTGTTTCTTAACCTCTTTATCCAGGTAAAGGGAAGTTTATTAAGACATTAAGTAAGTTGGGGGGAAAAAACAACAACAATAAAACATTTTTATTCAAAGCTGTCTCAGGGCCCCTCCCTGCAGTGGGCCCTGGGTAAACGGTACCCCCCCCCCCCCCCCCCCCCAGTCCGACGCCCCTGCCAGTTCCTCCTGTATTTAAACCCCCCCCCAGTTCTGTGTTCCTCACCTGTTCACTGTTTCATTGTCCACGTGCTTCCTATTAAAGACCTTTCTGAATGTCCTCATCAGCCTGCCTTTCTTTCCCTTGCACTTGGATCCTCACCTCAACCACTCACCTCCCCTGTAGCGTGACAGCTATCGCCTTTTATGCGTGTGTGTGTATATATATATATATATATATATATATATATATATATATATATATATATATATATATATATATACATATACACACGTAATTAAACACTAAATCATTTTGCATAATAAAAAACATCTTAAAATGGTCAGTACAGGACTGACAAGAGGCCTTTTCACTGAACTCATGCTGAACTACAGCTGTGTTACACTCAGTAAGTCACCCTAACACGATTTACAGACGATAAAGTAGAAAGCACACGTTCATGTTTATTTAAACAGACTGGTAAAGTTTAATAAACTGATCTGAGTACAGCATCCAGATGTTAGTGTAACCAGGTGACTGAGCTCATCCTGGTGATATGTGATATGGCGGTGTTTTTGTATTTCTCACTGTTGGAATGGCCCTTGAATGTGCCACAGCTCTATCTCAGCCACTCCTTGATGGGCTGATTATAAAAAGGTGTGCAGATTTGGGAGGTGGTTGTCCTGCTGCTGTGAGATTTTGGCTGTGAGTAGAAATTTTATGTTATGTTTTCAGTTGATGTGAGTGATTTATATATGTGTTTAATTCTTTGGTTTGTTTTTTTTTTTGCTTCAGTCATGTGTAGGTGGAGGGTCTTGTGGTGTTTTGTGTTAATCTGTGTGACAGCAGACATTACTCCTCCGGGCCACCCTCTCCACTTGATGTGTGATGATTTCTTCCTCATCAGTCTCTAAGTCACATCCTCGTTGGATGCTCCACACTGACCTACATGTACTCCCCCCACACCTCTCCCTCTGTGTGTGTCTCTGTGCCTCACCCAGCCTCTTCCTCTCAGCTCATTGATATGCCTGATCATCAGAGGCATCGCTGAACTGGCTAATTGTCATTTTCAGCTGCAGAGCCACTGATGCATTCCATTTCCTCTCCAGGGCGTGATGAAGCGCTCTCTGCAGTGACACTTGACAAGAAGGATTTGGTTGCATCGCCAACCCAGCTTATTGTTCCGTCAAACGGAAGGCACGTGTTATTAAAAACTGCATTATTTATCTGATCACACAGAAGGGAGTGTGCCAGAGTTTGGCTTTGGAGAAAGTTTTGATTCTTTGTATGTGACCTTCATTGGTGCTTTTTGACCTATTCCAGACGGGTGCAGCGTAAGTCAGAAGATGTCATGTAGTCTCCAGAGCCTTTACA